GTAAATTGGAGATACGGCTGCCGTATCTCCAGCCACTGCCTAATAGTTTTGGTCTTATATCATGTAAAATGACTTTACCCGAACGAAATGTCATTAGAATGCACATCGCTTTATCTATCGGAACTATATCTATTATTGATCATGATCTGATGCACCCATATTTATGGTGTCATATAACTATTTATGTTTCTAACAGCAGGCCCTAAGTTGGTGTACCAAGTTTCCAATATCTCACCCTAGTGTCAATGGTACAAGATCTAGACACTTAAAAAAGATACGCTAATAGTAATACTCATATTTTACTGATGGTTTTTAAGTACAGCTTCTTTTCATGTACAGCACTCTTTCAGGATTGAAACATGCTATACCAGGTGGCGATCGAAGCCTTCGATCAATTTGATAACTTACAACACAGGGAGTTATAGCCACCTTCCCGGATAAGCGTTGTGAATACTGATCTGTGAACAGTCTATGCCGGCTGCCGGGCTGGGTCTCGGGCTAGCTCTAGTACCCTGGTACTATCTAATATGCCGGACCAGACCTCGCCTACTCCACTAACGAGTCTAGGGCGTCGCCTACGCCTACTCCCCAACCCTAACCATATCAGATAGTTACCAGGGTACGTTCCGGTATACCGGACCGTACCCAGGGTACGTTCCGGCAGTACCCTGGGGGACATAGACCCTATGAGCTTAGGTAGGCCTAGCTCAGTGACAGACAAAAATGCGTCTAAACAGAGGAATTGCTCCGACCTGTGATTGGAGGATAAAAATAGAATTAGTGACGTTTCGTTTCACTGGTCATAGCCGCGCGTGTATTACTATTACTATTACTATTAGTCTATTATATGAGCGATACCGCGCGTGCATATTTGCTAATTAATTAGACTAATCTTGCTTCAAGAGACTCAAAATTCACAGAGATTATCATTAAGGCTAAGACATGTGTCTATAGACTATAACAGCTAGAATTTATAGAAATGTAACTGAAATCGGTCGCTCCATATGATAGTTAGTAGGTAGTACATCGTACACGTTATACCAGGGTCTTATCTTGTAAATACACGTTCCTACCGGTCATAGCATAATAGCGTATGCGGCGGGAGTGGACGGGGTCTATTTTTATCCTCCAATCACAGGTCGGAGCAATTCCTCTGTTTAGACGCATGTATGAATGAATGTAGTGACTATAGTGACAGCATAGACTGATATAGCTCTAGTCCTATAGTCCGTGTTCATTAACTGCCGCAGGGCTATAGAACATTCTCGCACAGATTTCGTAACACCACCTGGTCCCGATTGGTTCCACGAAAAATGGCTCAGAAAACGCAAAATGATCGGGCTTTTTAACACTTATTTATCTACATGGACATCTCACCTATCTTTTTGAACACTTTCCACAACTTTACACCATGTATTTATGCCTTTAATAGCTTTATTCCTCACAAGTCAGCACTACTGGCCGAGTGGCTGTACCATTTGAAATATTGGCGTGCGAACGCGTGACGTCACCGGATATGTAGGAAAAACACATGGCAGCTATGGTGCATGTACATACAATACCGGTGACGTCACGCGTTCGCACGCCACAATATTTCAAATGGTACAGCCAGTAGTGCTGACTTGTGAGGAATAAAGCTATTAAAGGCATAAATACATGGTGTAAAGTTGTGAAAAGTCAAAGTGTTCAAAATGATAGGTGAGATGTCCATGTAGATAAATAGCTTTAATAGGCCCTAAGTGTTAAAAAGCCTGATAATTTTGCCGCTTTGCGTTTTCTGAGCCATTTTTTGTGGAACCAATCGGGACCAGGTGGTGTTACGAAATCTGTGCGAGAATGTTCTATAGCCCTGCGGCAGTTAATGAACGGACGCTATAGTACTACTAGTACTACTACTACTAGTACTAGTACTAGAGCTAAGAGTAAGACTGATACTGATACTGATAGAGTCGAAGTTCAAGTTATTCTTACTCTTACTCTTAGTTTATGGAGACAGTGGGGCTAATAATATAAGTAATAGTTGTGTGAACAGTGGCGCTTGCAGTTACACCTGACACAAGCTTAGCAATTTCCCTAACTAATTTTTGAATACCTTTTAACACATAGAAGTTATCACAATCATATTGGCAAGGAGAACTGTCACTTCACGGGCGCAGACATGTTGGTGACCTCTAACCTCACATTCGCAGCGAGAGCGCCATCTGTCGTGGAGTTTGCGAGCAACGATGTTGTGAAGGGAAATGCGAGGGACGTCACGCGACGTCACGAAACTGACGCACGCGACGCGCGCACGCGACGCACGAACACTGACGTCACGCGAACATTCGATGGCATGGAAACATATATCCACCAGTTAGGAATCCCCTTGGGTTAGTATCTATGGACTAACCACCCGAGACTGATACGGCAGGTTAGTGAACTACAGTCGTAATGGCAGCATATAGCATTTTGGATGTTTCGAAAGTAAACATTGGTTAAATATCACAAGATTTGCGACAGAAATCATTTATCATTTA